TGTAACCGTTTTCGGCAGAATGTTTGTCGAGGGATTGACTTCACTTGTCTCTTTGACGAGTTCGTGGCTTAGTGAGGAGAATGGCAAAACTTACTGATGATGCCGACGAAACGTCTGAGAATGTACCAAGTCCACTGTCTGATTCTGGGAATCATGACAACTACTATGGCAGAAGACGACTTCGGACTAGGTGCATTCTACATAGTCTTCCTGAAAACAAGACTAAATTTCGACAACGAGATCAGCCCACTTCCAATTGAATAGACCTCACGTTTACATTGGATTTTACATCGTCCTGCTTCCCAAAAGCTGTTCTCATCCAGACTGAAGTGGACCGCGGTTTCGACCTCGGCTGAACTGGTCTCATCCGTAGTCCCAAAAGTAACTCGAACACGAGTCGACACTTTAGTCACTTCGCTAAATTGCCACGAGTGCCCTTGAGTCACAGGGCAGAGGTGCATTTCAAAGAAGGCCAGGCCTTTCCCATAAAACATTTCTTTGGTGGGATTTTTAATTGATCGACTAGTTTAGTTATTTCCGCTTGACAAGTCGGTTCTCGAACCTACCAGTAGGCAAGATAGCTTAGATGTGTTCACCCAAATTGCGTTAAAGATGATGAAACTACTTATAAAAGGAAAACGAGTAAGCAGCCGATTACTAAAGAAAAAACAACTTTATTTGAGTCTGGGCAACAGGACGATCAGCAAAAAGAAGACGACTGGAACAAGGTAATATCCTTAATTTTAAGAAGAGATATCGCAAGGCGATGAGAAAGGTAAGAAACGTCTTTAGTAAGCCTTATCAAAACAAATAGAACCACGACATTTGTGGGTTGGCACACAAGAGACTAGGACATAAGAAGTGATAGTCATGGTATTACAGATAAAAACAAAAAAGACGAGGCGGAGACTAAAGCTGTTTGGCCAACAATAGACGTGTTTGATCTTAAACGTGATCCTTGAATCACGTCTATTCTTAGCCAACCAGCTCTAGCTTCCACTGTTTATATCCTCTTTCTATCTATACTACCAAGTCTATGACTTGCTATGCCCTAGTCTCTTGTGTGCCAACCCACAAATGTTGTGGTTCAACATTGAACCTAATCAAAAGCCAGCAGTACCACAACATTTGTGGGTTGGCACGCAAGAGACTAGGGC